CTTTGTTCTTTGCTGGGTAGGCAGCCAGCGTTTTAAAATGGTGCTTGATTATAATTGTCGTCTCAATCTTCTCAAAAACCCACAATGCCTTTCCGCATGTCCCAGTAAGATGATCCTGGTGCAATTAGAAGCTTTAAGCATAAAACCATTCATGTCTTTGAGAAACTTTATGTTTATTATTGCAAAATGTGTGCACACGCCCAGCTGGCGTGGCTCAGTGGTTGACTGTTGACCTATGAGCCAGGAGGTCAGGGTTCGATTCCTAGTCAGGGCACAGGCCTGGGTTGTGGGCTCCATCCCCAGTCCGGGGCGTGCAGGAGGCAGCCGACCGGTGATCCTCTCTCCTCATTGATGTTTCCATCTCTCTCTCCCTCCCCCTTCTCTCTGAAATCAATAAAAACGTATTGATTTTTTGTGTTGAGCATCTGCCCCCTTGTGGTCAGTGTGCATCATAGCGACCGGTCATTCCGCCATTCGATTTGCATATTAACCTTTTATTATATAGGATGACAGCCCCGAAGTGAGGAGAGGGGTGCTGGCGATTCCGACATGCCCAAGTGAAACATCCAGTTATGTGTGTGTTTAGGAAAAAGCACGTATACAGGGTTCCGTCCTAGCCACGGGTTCAGGCCTCCATGGAGTTCTTGGAATGCCTCCGAGTGGATAAGGGGGCTCTGCCGTCCTGGCCACTTTCCAGGGGGCAGTGGGGAAGGTGTGTCTCTTTTCAATAAAACTGTCTCAGGAGGAGCCAGGAGGACCGGCGAGCCTGCTGCCGGGCTGCGGGCCTGTGTGTGCAGGTCCTTCTGACACCCTGAGGAGCTCCTCTCCTTTCGTTCACACCTGAGCCTCTCGGGATGCTGTGCACGGAGCACACACGTGCTCCTGTTGGTCGCTGGTGTCCAAGGAAAATGGCTTTCGTCGCCCACAGGGGGCGCCAGAGAACAGGAATGCACAGAATGCCTAATGTCCTTGTAGAATTTTCAAAACGAATGGATGATGGCAACAAGAGGGATAAAACACAAACACAAGATTTTACAAATAGATAAATATAAAACACTCTGGGCGACACCCTGACATTTCATGGAATTGTTTATGTTTATGGGGTCATTTTTGAAAACATATTTTTGTTGATTTCAGAGAGGAATGGAGAGGGAGAGAGAGATAGGAACATCAGTGATGAGAGAGAATCATGGATGGGCTGCCTCCTGCACGCCCCCCACTGGGGATTAAGCCCACAACCCGGGCCTGTGCCCTGCCCAGGAATGGAACCCTGACCTCCTGGTTCATAGGTCGACGCTCAGCCCCTGAGCCCTGCCGGCCGGGCAGTGAGGTCGTTATTCATCTTACAGTGAGAAACCGCGCGTTAACTCCAGCTCATTTGGCGATTTTATTCTGTGTGCGTGGTGTTTCCTCCACCCTAGCATCTCACATTGCACGGCTTCACGTTTGAAAACCGACGAAAATCAGCAAATGCCCTCAAACCAACACCGAGGCACCCGAGACTTCAGAAACCGGAGGTGCAGGGCCAGTGTCGGGGCCGTGGGGTGGGGCGGGGTGTCCCCAGGGACAGGCTCAGGGTGGCGCGGCCTGTCAGCATGTTTCTCAGCAATTCCAGACACTTTCCTCACCCCCAGGGAGTTCTCATTTTTGAATTTTTTTAAAATAAAAGGCTTAGAAGTGCAGCTTACGGAAAATTTAGGGTCAGTTTTCTAGGTTTTATGCAACAACATCACGTGCATCCGGGCGTTCCCCTCCCTGGAGACGGAATCACTCAGAGGAGGTGCAGTCTCCACGGCGCCTGCGGACCTCGTTACAGACCCTGTTACAGACCCGGGAAGGCCCCGCCTGTTCCCTCCTTACAGACCCGGGAAGGCCCCACCCTGTCCCTGGTTACAGACCCGGGAAGGTCCCTCTCATGTCCCTGGTTACAGACCCGGGAGGGTCCCGCCGGGTCCCTTGGCCGCACTTGGCGTTGGGGTCCCGGCTGGGCCCTGACTTAGAGAATCCCTGCCAGGCGATGCAGAGGCCGGATCCTCGATTAACTGCGGGAGGCGGCCGTGCGCGGTCCCCTTAGCACCTGCGTGCAGGGGTGGGCGGCCCCGCTGCCCCGGGTCTTCCTGCCACAGACCCAGCCCCTCCCAGGGGCCTTTTCTTCTCAGCAGAATCACCTGCGCTTCCTCCTCCAGGCCGCCCCCCCCCTCCCCCCCACCACGTCCATCTCTCTGAGGGCTGCTCAGGGGGCAGGGCCAGGGCGAGCAGCAGGGACCCTGGCTAGTGGCCTCTCCCTGGCTGACGGGTTAGGGGTGGCCCACAGCTGTGATGTCCCTCCTGGGCCGGGCTTCTCCCCAGACAACAGCCGCGGGAGTGAGAGGCCGCACCTGATGCTTCCACCCTCTCAGCCCCAGCGAGGGCGCCATTAGGGGAGCGAGGGGACTGTGCTGCCACAGGAACAGCTGTCGTGTCACCTGGCCAGTGGCACCCACGGGGGGACCCTCGCCCTACATGCTCCCAGCAGAAGCTGCGCTGCTCAGACACTGAGTTTTGGGAGGAGGGGGCCCAAGTGCACGAGAACGTCTGGTCTTTCTCGGGACCCTTTCTTCTTGGACCCCAATCAGTTTGTCCAAAGTTCAGGGCCAAGGGGACAGGCCAGGGCCCATCGGAACACAGCTGAAGACATGGTACCAGGCCAGTCACTTGATTACAGGTTATTACTATTTAAACAGCTGCTCTCACTCAAGGAGCAGTTAACATGGTTACATACCAGTCAATTATTTTGTCTTTATTCATAAGGCACCGTAGGGTGGTAATAATAATCATATATATAAAAGCCTAATATGCTAAGTGTCTGATGGTTCAACAGTTCAACCAGTCGCTATGACCCGCACTGACCACCAGGGGCAGACGGTCTGGTCAGTAGGTTAGCTTGCTGCTGGGGTCCGGCCGATTGGGACTGGGCAAGACAGGCCGGACATGCCTGGAGCCCTCCCGCGGTCCTTCCCTGGCCGGGGTGGGGTCCCGGATTGCGAGAGGGCACAGGCCAGGCCGAGGGACCCCACTGGTGCACGAATCCGTGCACCGGGCCTCTGGTGATAATAATAGAAGAGGCGGTTTTGAGTGCGGTGGGTGTGGGATGGCTCCGTGGCTGTGGAGGAGAATCCGGCAGCTCCTCAAGAAAGTCAGAAATGTGACCCTTAGATCCGGGGGTGCGGGGGGAGCTGCCTCCAGGACACCCCATTCTGGTCGTGGCCTGGCCCCCACTGAGACTGGTCACCCCGTCTTGGCCTGCTTTCCCTGGAGAAGACAGGTCGCAATCCGGGCCCAGCCAGCGGCCAGAGGAGTGGCTTTCTTGGTGGATCTCTAACATCACCTACGGCCCCTGGGAGGTTAAGTATCCAGGCAGCGCTGACAGATGCAGGAGCCCTGGGAGAGGGCGAAGGAGTGAAAGGGGGAGGGGAGGGGGAGGGGACAGGGGAGAGGGAGAGGGAGGGGGAGTGGAGAGGGTGAGGAGACCTTGGAGGGAGAGGCAAGGATGGCAAACAGGAGCACCTCCCTTACAGTCTGGGCCCCGCATGGAACTGGCATTTTCTTCCGCATCCAGAGGCCTCAGGACACAGAGGCCTGGCCCCGCAGCCTCAGGTGAAGGTCCTGGAGGGGTGTCCCCTGCTGCCCCCTCCTGGTGGACCTGGTAAGGTTTGGGAGGGAGCGGCGGCCAGGGCTCTGGGCCTGTGGACACGGACTCCCAAACCGCCAACGGGCCGGCAGGCTGTGAGCCTCCCCGTGTGGGTAGGTGGGTAGGTGGGTGGGGTGCCTGCCAAAGCCCCACCATCCAAAGACGTGTAAAGAATCAACACTGCAGCCCTAGCTGGTTTGGCTCAGTGGATAGAGCACCGGCCTGGGGACTGAAGGGTCCCGGGTTCGATTCTGGTCAAGGGCATGTACCTTGGTTGCAGGCACATCCCCAGTGGGGAGTGTGCAGGAGGCAGCTGATCGATGTTTCTTCTCATCGATGTTTCTAACTCTCTATCCCTCTTCCTTCCTCTCTGTGAAAAATCAATAAAATATGTTTAAAAAAAACCAACACCGCAGAGAAAAGCCTGGAGAAACCCAGCGCCTAAATAAACGATTCTGTAATGTCTCAATGGCTTCACGTGGCAGCGAGGGAGGCTGATCTGCGCCCAGTTATGCTGATCCGGGAGGCAGATGGGTGGCAAGTCCGCTGGGGTCCAGCCGGTCATCATTCCTGTGCAACGGCGCCACCTGCTGGTCCTCCTGTGCCGTCTCACCCTCACCAGCTGCAGGTGGTAACCCGGTGGGAAATGAGGAGCCAGGTCTACTCAGACACCTCGAGGGCCACCTGCTGACGGCTCACAGGCCAGAACCCAGAGGCCGCTGTCCTCACAGAGGGTGGGAGGCCTGGGTCCAGCTGGCCACGGCACCCTGGGCCTCGCCCGGCTGCCCCCCACCCCACCGGTGCTGCCCCGCCCCAGGTCGCCAACCAGGAACCCAGGCTGGGGCTGCCGTGTCCGGGGCAGACTCGGGCTCGAACCCTGTGCCTGCCGTTCTGTTGTAATTAGCTCACGCGGAGTGTGGGCAGATCGAGCCTTCGCGCTCCTGCAGCGGGGCCAGCGTCTCGCACAGGATGGCGATGAGAAGCCCCGCCAGACGGGCCCCCGTCACAGCCAGGCCCGGGGGGGGGGGGGGGGAGCCTGGGGCCTGGGGGTTGGACAGGCGGCGTTGGGGGCCGGGCCCTGAGGTTAGCGATGGGGACACCACGCTTCCTTTGGCGAGTGTCGCGTTGCACAAAGCCTTGCAAGTTCCCTCTGGGTGCTGAGTGGAGGCCTCCTGAGAGAGCCCAGCGGCCGGCACCATGTGGAGGTTAATGTTCAGAAGCAGAAAGTTCCCAGGCCTGGTGGGTGCCCGTGTGCTCATGTGCCCGCCGCTGCCGCCGCTCCTGCCCCACGTCCTGACTTACAGGCTCTCTCCGCCTTCTGCCTCCACAGGGCCAGCGTGACGCCGCCTCGCGGGAGCCGCCGGCCGCGCCTGCCCAGGTAAGACGCCCTCCGGGGTCACTTTTCTCGCTGAGAAAAAGTTAGACGTCCCGGCTTCTCTCCGTGCGTTTGGTCTCTACTCTGCCCGAGGCCTGGCAGCCGCTGTGCGCGCGCTGGGAAGAGCGGGGCCGACACAGCAGTTTAAGCTGTTGCCGTCTGTCGGGGCGCCGTCTGGGTGCCGTCCGCGGCCTGGGGCTCTGCCGGGGCCAGGGCGAAGCGTCCTGCCTCCTGGGAGGACTGTTTATCCCGCGACTGGGGGCCCGGGGACCACCCTCGGGTGTTTTCCGAAATGACCCTCCAAGTGACTGCGAAGCCGTGTTTATTAACGTGCAGGTCGTTTTATAAAATTGAAAGGAATCTTCCGAAATGAATAGGTTTTTTGTCAACACCTGTTTTCACGCTGATGAGCGCTCTGGTCCGGGCGCCGCTGCTGACGCGAAGCCACGGGGTCGCAAACGTCAGGAACCATCCTGCTCGGAGCCTGTGCACCCCCAGGGCATCGGCTGCTGCTGGTCTCGTGCTGTAAACCTTATCCGTATGCAGCCCCATAAAGCCCAGCGGCTCTGCAGGGCACCTTTTCTTCCTTCAGAGCTTAGCCTGGCTTCACCCATATTTCAAATCAATTGAACCTGAAAAGGAGCGAAAATGAAGCGAGTTACCAGCTGTTAAAGTGTGCACGCCTTTTGGGGGACGCCCTGTCTGTAACCCTATGTGCCGTGTGCTTTAAAAAACCTATTGATGCTCTTCGAACAGCAAGAGAGCCGTGAGAGTGAGGCGAGGCTGGGATGTGGGCCGGCCCTGCCGCGCCTGCCCGCCCTCAGGGGGCCCCCAGGTGGACAGCCTCCTGCGTGGGAAGTCCAGGTTCCCATCGGGAGCTGTTCCAGGAGCTCGGCCTAGAATGGATCACTGGAGATGGAGGTAGATTTCTGGAAGTATTTCAAGCAGCTGTGTGGGTTGAATGGTAACATTATAGAGAAGAAGTTTTATAAGGTAGTTTTTGGGGTGTTTCCTTTCTCTGGCTCCCACAGTCCCGTGGGCAGCGTGCTACCTGCCCGGGGACACGGTGGCCGCAGGGACGGCCTGGCTGAATGTCACGGCCCGTGTGGCAGGTCCGCGGTCCCGGTCACGCGTGGTTAGTGTGAACGCATGAACCTGCCTCTGGTTCACACTAAACAGCAACTCGCCTCGCTTTCCGCGTGTTGGGCAGCTTCCTAGTCGCTCCTCATCGCCGGCCGGGGAGGGCGGGGGCCGCACGGGGACGCCACGGGCTCCTTGGCCACTCGCGTGGGCTTTGAGTCCCGAGGGCTGCCGAGTCCGGCCCAGACGTGACCACACAGGACGTGCCGCTGCCTGCCTGCTCTTGTGTGTGTGTGTGTGTGAGTGTGTGCGCGCGCATGTGTTGTTGTTGTTTTAATTCTTAGTAATTTGTGAAGCAATCTGTCCTTTTGTAAGATTCCTTGATATGCAAATAGGAGAACTCAAACGAATCCTTTGCAAAGAGCCACGGAGAGTGGGTTAAGCTGCTGATGTGCCCGGACCCTGGCGGCCACTCAGCTGGTCTGGGTGCCTGGGCCCGGCCTCCTGTGCGAGGCCTTGTGAGTGGGGCCCCGCCCGGGGGCTCCTGGGTCCCACGCGCCCCTGGTTGAGTCACAGCCAGCTTTCCGACGAGGGGTTTGAAACTGGGGCGTGAGCGGGGCTCTCCTAACTGACCCTCGTCCTAACTGACCCTCTGAGCCTCCGCTGCCCCTGGATGGGTGACTCCCCTGTTTCTTTGTCTCTTCCGCCCCCTCTGCCCTCGGCTGTGCGTCCTGAGCCTGGGAAATGGTCGCCAGAGATGTCTTTTGTGTCCTGATGGTGTGGACGATGTGAGGGTGACAAGCGGCATTAGAAAAAGGTCAAGTGAGGGGCTATGATGCAGAACCCTGGGGCCCGTCTGTTTTCGGGGACAAGTGCCATGACGCTGCTCGCTCAGCTCCCAGGCCAGGCCCCTGCGTCCCTCACACCACGGTGACTCGCCGTGACTCTCCGTGACTCTCCGTGACTCGCCGTGGCTCGCCGTGACTCGCTGACGGTCTGTGGGCCAGGATGGCGGGGCGAGACGCTTCCCCCTCGGACCGTGGACATGGGAACAAGCCTCGAGAGCTCCCTGGCGGAGGGGACAGGCACAGGGGCTGCAGTGGGCCATAGGGTGTGGCGGACTCTCCATGGGGCAGGTGGGGAGTCCAGGGAAGGTTCCAGAGCAGGGTGTTAGCAGAAGGAGACGCCCACCCACAACCTCTGAGCTCTTCTTCTTTTGTCCTTAAATAGTCACAGAAGCGGAATGTGTGTCTTTCCTGCATTACTGTAATCGGCGCCGTTGCCCCACCTGCGGGGAGCCCTCCCGTAGAAACCAGCCATGTTTCGGGGCAGGTTTGAGCCAGAAGCTCCCTTCGATGGAGGCCAGACCTTTACGTTGACTCGTTTAGCTGAGGAAAAGCGAACATCACTGTCAGAGTGAAAGGTTGACCCGGTTTTAGCACATTCAGCTGTCGCCCTTCCCACCTTCCAACCCAGACAGGTGCAACCACAGAAAACTCCCCGCGGCTCTTCACCGAGCCCTGAGGTCACAGGGGGAGTTATTTCCTCCTCCTGCATGTTCATGGTTTACAGAGAAACCTAACCGCGAGTACTGTACGAAATGACGAGTGAGCGCTCCACTCCTAAAGGCACCGACGTGACTGCAATCAGAGGGTGACCGCAGAGGGCAGGGCCTCGGGTTTCGTAACCGGTGTCCACTCTCTTAGACGTCAGCCACGGAAGGCGACCGTCGTGCCCTCAGTGACCACAGCGCGAAAAGGAGCAGTCAGCTCGCGAGTGGACAGGTCGCTGGCAGTGACGATCAGCGTGAAAGACGTTGTCATGGCGACGATACAGCCAAGCCCGGGGGGCTTTCTGTCTGCTTGTGACCGTGTGACTCTCATGTCGTAGCCAGAGCCATTGACACTGACCCCGGTGACCCGGGAGGCTGACCGGAGGCAGGAAGCCCTCTGTTTGCTGTGGGCGGCGGGCGCTCCCCTGCCACCAAATGGAGCTGTGATCACGGCTGCCGCTGCCCCGCCCCTGCCTCACCCCTGCCCCGTGGTCGCTGTTGTTCACAGACCAGGATGTGCAGGGCATGGAGGGCGGCGGTGGGGGAGGGGGGACTGAGTCGTCTGCCCGGGTCGGTCACCACACGGCCGTGCTTGGCCTCGAGTCCTTTTTCTTTTTAATTCATGTGTTTTTATTGATTTCAGAGAAGAAGGGAGGGGGAGGGGGAGAGAAACATCCATGATGAGAGAGAATCATGGACCGGCTGCCTCCTGCACGCCCCCCACTGGGCTTGTGTCCTGCCCGGGAATCCACCGTGACCTCCTGGTTCAACCACTGAGCCACGTCGGCCGGGCGGCCTCGGGCCTTTCAAACCAGTAGGAGATGCGTCTGCGTTCTCGTCTGGGGGTGCCACATGGCGCCCCACCCTCCCCTCCAGGGTGGCAGCATTTTCTAGGTGATGGCCTAGTGGGCGGGGGGGGGGAGCGAGCTGTGGGGAGTTCTGGCTGAAAGTTAAACGAAGCTGGCGTTGCTCCGTGAGCAGGACTCTGCGCCCCTCTGGGGGGGGGGGGGGCGTCTAAGGGGCAGGAAACAGCTTCTGGTCGGGGTTCTTTCTCGGCCGCATGGCCTGAGCACTTGGTTCTGTCCCCGGAGGTGGGTGCCCCCCAACAGCAGCGCAGCCCCTCCCCCAGGGGCTGCTTCCAACACGATTCTTTTCTGGGATTGTTTGGAGATGAGTGAGCCCGGATTGTCATGAAATCTCTCCTGCATCACAGAAGAGGCACACTCCTGCCGGCGTCACCATGGCAACATCCAGTCCACGTGCTCACATGTACCTGCTCTTAAATCCCATGAAAAGGGAAAGGTTTCTATGGCGAAGCTGCCGGATCTGACACGCTGCCAGCCAGCCAGGGCCCGGCCCCTCCGCACTGCGAGGCCTTTCCCAAGCCCGGCCGGCTAAGGGCTTCCCGTCCCGGGGAGCGCGCCTCGGGGGGGTGGTGGGGGTGTCACGGAAGACCTCGCGCCTCTGACCGCAGGGCCGCCGCCCAGCCCGCCGCCCTCCCGCGCTCTGTCCTGTGCACACGGCTCCAGGCAGGGAGCGAGCGCGGCCAGGGAGCGGGCGTTTGCCGGGATGTGGGCAGCATGGGGCCGTGGGGACGATGACGAATCAGGGTGAACTTTCCTGGGGCTTGTGCTCATCCTACCCGGACAGGCTCCGGGGAGAAAGACCAGCCTCGGACTCCGGGGCGGCCAGGACCAGGCAGGAGGGAGGGCCGCTCTGAGTGCCCTCACGGCGGCTCCTGCGTGCAGACTCTGTGGGCGCCTGGGGGGGGAGAGGTGCTCTGTGGGCGCCTGGGGGGGGGGAGGTGCTCTGTGGGCGCCTGGGGGGGAGAGGTGCTCTGTGGGCACCTGCGGGGGGGGAGAGGTGCTCTGTGGGCGCCTGGGGGGGAGAGGTGCTCTGTGGGCACCTGCGGGGGGGAGAGGTGCTCTGTGGGCGCCTGCGGGGGAGAGGTGCTCTGTGGGCGCCTGGGGGGGAGAGGTGCTCTGTGGGCGCCTGGGGGGGAGAGGTGCTCTGTGGGCGCCTGGGGGGAGAGGTGCTCTGTGGGCGCCTGGGGGGGGGGGAGGTGCTCTGTGGGCGCCTGGGGGGGGAGAGGTGCTCTGTGGGCGCCTGCGGGGGGAGAGGTGCTCTGTGGGCGCCTGGGGGGGAGAGGTGCTCTGTGGGAACCTGCGGGGGGAGAGGTGCTCTGTGGGCGCCTGGGGGGGAGAGGTGCTCGTTGCTCCTTGCAGCTCCGGGATTTCTCCCGGTCGTGGGAGACCAGATAGATGTGCCCTTAGGGACCATTTAAACCATTTCTCAAGGAGCCTGAGTTCTATTTTGTGTGAAAAATAACCGAAGGAAATGTCTGTGCCCCAGGAAGCCCACTCTGTGTCTC